CCACAAAACTGCCTGAAGAACTTGCATGTAAACATGGCAAGGAGGACCATGACAGCTGGCTTAAAAATAGAAATACCTTTGGAGCTTGACTGGAAAGTTATCCGTCCCAAGGAGGTTTGTCAAGGGGACTATCAGGGTTGGCAATGGACAGCATCATATAATTGATCAATTATGGCTAACTCATACATCAACCTCAACCCAGATCTTTCCGTCTGAAAGGGCCATTTTCTGTACTCAAACTGTTATAATTATACAGAACTACTTCTGATTTTTGATTTCATCTCTTGTCTGGACAAGCTGTTTCTTTGTGAAGTGTGGGCTTTAAATTTAACTACAGGGTCTTGATTCTCTAATTTTTGCAACTTATTCCAGTGGCTGGAGACCGCTCACCTTCCTTGATTGCTTTTTTGTAATTGGCATGGCCCGGTGTGGAACTACTCTTTGGTGGGAATAGAGCTTAGAGAGGAATGAATGCTTGAAGGGCTGCCTCTCTGGTTACTGGGAGAGTAAGAAGAACAAGAAATATATAAGAGTATGGACTCTTAAAGAAAGGTATGGCTGAATGAAGATGTAAGATTTGTAAAAGGGTAAGGTATGAGGATAATAATTCTGTGAGAAATGTCTTAATTCTGTAATGCTAAATAAATTCCAAGTAAGTAATGCTAAAACAATGACCAGGGAGCATTAATGACAACTCTGATAGGGGACAAATGGCAAGGGCCAATGAGAGCACTAAATATAAGTCTTCTGGGGGGGGAATAAGAAAACAAGGAGCAAGGCATCATCACAGGGTACTTGTAACAAGGCAACAACATGGCTTGGGAGACAGGCTTGGGAATGGCATGTGTGTGAGGGTCGGCCTACTACTTCTTGTTCTCCAGTGACTATGAAACTACTCAAGAGAGTAATTTGCCTCGGTAAGAAGATAGTAGTCGAATTAAGTTTTCTTTAATAACTGAATGAAGACTTAATCAATAATTTAGATTGTTTATGATGATGTATTACTATAGGTAATTTAAATCTAAATCATGATGAAGATAAGAAATATCGCGATAAAGAAAAAGGAAGATCAGAGGGAGGAAGAACAAGAGTGAGACTATATGAACTAAAAGCACAGACCAATGACAACAACAAGATTTCACGGATGACATCATTTGGAAGAAAATCACATTACGTCATCATCCATCTTTACTAATCGAAAACTTATAAATCTTACTCAATCATCAAGTTACTGGGTTAGTTATGACAAAACAGGCCTCCCTTATACTCTAAACTGTCCCTACCTTTCTGTTATTTTTCTTATAATATTTTGAATGAGTTTTTCTAAAATTGGTCAAATAAGTTGTCAAAGAAGCAGGAAAATGTAAATGAGAAACCCACGTATCATTTCCCACTGTTACCCCCTGCCAGGAAATCAAAAAATCAAAACTCCCCTTCTGCAGCTCTCTGAAATCTAAAACAGCTTTCAGTTTCTTCCATTCAACCACTTATTTTTCGTCATAATACTTACCCTTAAAATTATCCACCAAACCGCGATCTACCAAACTATTTGGAGAAAAATATTTCACAATAAGAGAGACATTAAATACCGGGTGCAACCTAGGATATTCTTGTTTAATATCCAGTTCTACCGCATTAGTACCCACTATCTTAATTACTTTGAATGGACCAATATATTGATAGTCTAACTTTGAATTCAAACGTCGGGATTGAATAAATTTTCTTAGTAGCAAAACCTCTTCACCAGCTTGATAAACTGGAGCATCTCTCTTCCCCTTGTTATAGTACTTAGCCTGTTGAAGACGTGCTTGAGATAAACATTCCATTGCTGTTTCTTGAGTAACCTGTAAATCATAAACAAAGTCATCTAGATCCTGGTTCCCCGTTGATTCTGTCATTATATTGAATTTAGGATGATGTCCGTACGTGAAGAAAAACGGAGAAATTTTTAAGCTTGCGGAATCTAAATTGTTCAAAGAAAATTCAGCCATGTCTAAACATTTATCCCAATTGTCTTCATAATAAGAACAAAAATGCCATGGATAATCCTCCAGAGCTTGGTTCATTCTCTCCGTTTGGCCATCAGTCTGGGGGTGATAAGCACTAGACAAGGCTGACTTGATGTTCAAGGAACACATCAACGCCTTCCAAAAATTACTCACAAAAGTTGTCCCCCTGTCTGAAACAATTTTATCCGGCAAACCATGTAGGCAAAAAATATTCTTCCTAAACAGATTTGCTAAAACAGCTGATGAAGAAGACTCAGCTTACTCAATAAATCTACAACTACCAAGATTGAATCAAAACCAGCAGATAAGGGAAGTTTAGTGATCATATCCATACCAGTCGTACTCCATGGTTTAGATTCCGGCACCAAAGAGACTAATTTGCCATCACCTAGCATTCGTCGCGATTTCACCCGTTGACACGAATCGCACGACTTAACAAACACCAGTATTGTTGACTTGACTCCCGGCAAAGAAAACGTGCGCAGAAGAATCAAAAGCCTACGAGCAACCCCAGGATGTCCTACCCCAAGCAAATTGTGATACATTGAAATAATTCAAATCCGTAGAGATTCTGGAACATAAATTCTATCATGATGCCACGAAACCTCATCAATCAAAGTCATTGATTGTACAGCCTTATTGGCATCGGAGTAATGTCTCTTCAAAAATGATAACATTTCAGAATTTGGGCATTGGAAATGAAGATCATGAACCTCCTTCATTGGTTCCAATGTCTCAGCCATCACAAACTTTTCCTTCAACAAAGTAGATTTCGGAATTGTCAGTCGTCCAGCCACAAAATCTTCACGACGACTAGGAGCATCAGCTGGATTCCGCTTGCCTGAAATATGATAAATCAACATGTTAAAATTATCTAAATAACACGCCCAACAAGCCTGTTTAGCAGATAAATATTTAGCGGTCTTGAAATACATTAAATCAGAATGGTCAGAAAAAACTTTTACTGGCTCATCAGTACCCATTAACCAAGCCCGCCAACACGATAGCTAACAGTTCCAAATCAAATATAGGCCAAGACCGCTCCCTGTCTGTCAACTTTCTTGAAAAATAACTAACAGGCCGATTATTGTTTTTGCTATCCGGTTGACTCAAAACCGCAGCTATAGCATAACCAGAACTATCAACGTGGACTATTTGAGGTTTGTCAAAGTTGAAATGCATAAGCAATGGTCCACAAACAAACAAATTCTTTAACTTCCCAAATGCCTCAGTTACCTCTGTTGAATTGAAATTCATCACCGGAGCCTTCTTAGTTTTTGTCAAAGCTGTCAATGGTCCCGCTATTCCTGAAAAATTCTGTATAAATCGTCTGTAGAAATTAGTGAAGCCTAGAAATTGTTGCAGTTCTTTGACGGAAGAAGGAAATGGCCAATCATTAATTGTGTTCAACTTCTTATCACTCATTTTCGGACCGTCCTTTGTAATATCAAAACCTAAAAATGTAACCTTCAAACAAAAAAAATTCACATTTGTTCAAAGAAGCCTTTAGCAAAAATTCTTGCAATCTAGTGAGTATTTTACGCAAATCAGCAATGTGTCCGTCTTCAGTCCTGGAAAAAATCAAAATGTCATCAATGTAAACAAAGTAACATACATCTAAATACCCTCTTAACACATGCTGAATAAAACGTTGGAATGTAGCTGGAGCATTACACAAACCAAAAGGCATAACTTGATACTCATACAACCTCCATGGCGTGCGAAAAGCCGTTTTCCATTTATGACCTGGAGCAAGCCTTAACAAATTGAATGCAGCTTTCAAATCAATTTTCGATAAATATTTGCAACCTTGTAAATTGTTAAGCAATTGAGATACCAATGGTAATAGATAGGAATCTCAAACAGTCATACCATTCAAAATCCTATAATTGACACACGGACGATCTGCTTTACCAGCCACCTTAACGTAAAAGATTGGCGCCGCCGCGGGAGATGAAGACAGAATAAAACCTTTTTGAACATTATCGTCAATATATATCTTCAATTGATCTATCTCTTTCTCCTTTACTTAGATTATACATTTTACCAAAGGGTGGAACCGCTCCTGTTTTCAAATTCACCTCGCAATCAAAATTTTCTTGATGGGGGGGCAACTCAGTTAAGGGTTCAGTTACAAAAACATCCTTGTATTCATCAAATAAGAAAGAGAAATTAGGACAATCTACAGAAGAAATCCCATGCGAGCACAGAATGATAACCACATTGTTTTTTGTTCCTCCAACATAAGTATTCGTATCCTTCAGCCACAAACTGCCTAAAATAACATCTGCTGAAAATATTCAAGTGATGTGGAGAACAACATAAGAGAAAAAAATAGAGCCGTTAACCGTGGGAATCAAAAGTTTCCCGCCGCTAACTGTTGTGGAACTACTCTTGAGATGAACAGAGCTGGAGAGGGAAAGATGCTTTAATGAGCTGCCTCTCTGGTAACTGGGTTGAGTAAGATAACAAGAAAAAGATAAGAGTGTGGACTCTTAAGGAAAGGTGTGGCTTTTGGAGGATTCTTGAGATGGGTATGTCTTCTGTCTTCTGGTCTTCTGTCTGAATGATACTAGTATCCCAAATGTTGATGGGCAACTACTAGGCTAATGAAGGGTGATCAGTTATCTGGATTGCTGGGGCAGGATCTGATGGGGAACAAATGAAGAGAGGAAAACAAGTCTCCTTATATACAAAATCTGGGGAGTGGCCAGCTTGTGGCTGGAAACACCATGGAACAAAATGGAACAAGAGAAAATTATCAAACTGAAACAATGTGGCCCAATGGGTAGGCACTAAGATAAATGGGGAAAATGACATCAAAGACATGCAGGGATGAAATGTGCCACAACTAGTGAGGAAGGAAGAATATACCAAAGAGATAAATGAACTAGCCAGATGTGTACTAGTGTGAGACATGAAAATAACCCAAGAGGAATAGTGTGAAACAATAGAATGTGGCCCAAAGTGGAAATGAGACTAGAGTGAAATTTAAATAGAGTGAAACACATGCAGAGGCCAAGTGTGGAAGGCTGAAAGGGGGTTGATGATGTCAGACTGCATGAGATGATTATGAAATAATGAAATGAAATGGGAATCCAGAATGTCTTCTGTCCTGGGGGCTTGGTCTTGTGACATCCATGGTGTTGCAGGTTGGCTGAATAGTCCAGAGGGGGGTTGTCTTGGTCCTTGAGGGTAATGTCTTCCAGAGGGCTTGATATTATGCTTGAAGCTTTGATTTTGTGGGCCTTGTATTCAAGATTGGCTTACCACACCGTGGGAATCAAAAGTTTCCCTTTTATACATTCTGTAACCTTTCCAGATGACGCCAAAGATCCATCAAACGACCGGCATTGCATTGGATCAGTTAATGCAAATTTTTGTAAATTATGAATCCTAACAAAAGATTCATCAATAAAGGAGGAAGTTGCCCCAGAATCCACCATCACCAAACACGTGGTCAGCTCCAATTCATCTTTAAATAAAGATGAATTGAAAAAAGGGCGATTATCTGACAATTTAGAAGTTTTAACATAAATAAAGGACTTACATTCATCAAACTGAGCCTCTGCAAGTTGGCGCTCAACAAATAACTCCCCCAAAGTCATCCGTTCCATCTCAACAGTATTGACTCTGCCTTGACTAGTGGAAGCCATTGGCGAATTAGATTGATGATTGTTCAATGCACGCTTTGGTGAATGATTGGAAGATTCCTCCAATACTGATTCTCGCTTCTTTCCTTTGTTAACACCTTGACGTTGAAAAGAAGCAGGCTGAGCGGAAGGATAACCACCCGTTGAAGAAGACCAACGATTGAAAGCCAAGATGAATTGCGCCAATCGTGGTATATTTCGTTGTCTACTGATGAGTGGAATTGTGTCAGATCGTTCATTCTCTTCTCATGCTTGGAGAACCAAACCACACAACTTACCTAAACGGGTTATTTGAGGCAGTCTTGCAAGACTTGAGGTTTTGGAGAATTCCTACTGCGCTGAATGACAACAGTCCGGTTGTGAGGTACTAGGGGGTTCAAGTATGCGAGAATAAAAATAAAAGCCAAATAACTTAGGATGTAAGGACACACCCCAATCCTACAAAGCAATCATGACATCCTCTAAATCGCGACATGCATCTTGCCTGAAGACCAGAAGTCGTAATAAAAATCAAAGATGTTGAAATAAGCCAAATACTATAACAAAGCCAGAATCATGAACCGTTGCTAATAACAACTGTTGTTCCCAACAACAGATGTATGTATTAACCCGTAAACATTACACAGGTGGGGTTGTGTGGCACACAGATGTATGTGGTGGTTTTTGATTATGACGTCACTCAACCCAGAGAGAGTCCCCAACGCTTTCATCAAACCAGTCAGTCAAGCCAGCTCCAACCATCAGACAGCCCTCATTCACATGCACCATGGCTGTGTCCGCCCACGGCGGGACGCAGGGGACATCGGTTGTGTTGATGCCATGCAGATTGCAATGAGCACTTGGGTCGGGCGCTGGTGAGGCGTCTGTAGGGAGCATGGGAGGTCGGCCTGGAGGCATGTTGGTTTTGGGGTCTCATGGCATCCCCACAGCCGTGCGAGGGCGGCCCGCCCGCAAGTGTGTGGCGAGTCAATGTGCATCCCGGACGGATGCTGTTCACGGGGCCGGCTGGTGGGCTCATCAGGGCCGGGGACGGATCCAACAGGATCATGGGTTGGGCTGCCCCGGCGGGGGCCATATAGGGTCGGATACCCTGGCCGGTGTGTCTTTCGTGCAATTTGATCACTCATGGGGGGGGGGGGGAATCCTCCCGGCCAAACCGGGAAATGGTTCCTGCCGGACGGGTTGCGCCAGGTTTGGGAGGCACAATTGGGGCATGGGGGAAATGAGCTTAGGTGGAACAGTATTTCATTGCATTGGGGCGGGGTGAGGGACTGGGATTGTCACATCATTGTCCCTATAAATCCCCACCAAGCCCTACGCTTTCTCATAAAAAGGCCGCTTTCAAACTGATCCCAAGGAAAACTGCACCGATTCTCCTGCTTTCTTGCAAACATAAACTGCAATCCGTCTGAGATTTGGATGATCTAACACGCCGCCTCCACTTCGTCCAAAACAAAGAAAGGCGATGGCTGGTAGCTGTTTATTTTTTTGCCAAGGTACATAGTTTGGCAGAGCTTGAACAATGTCATCCAAAGCAGGTAGACACAACAAGTGATTCCCGGGATGAATCCCGGCGAGCAGTTGTCTCATGGGCTGCCACATTCTGGGACCAAAGGATTGAGGGTTAGCGTCGGCCTAGGCGGATTGGCAGGTTCAAAAGGGTTCCTGAGAGAATGTCTTGGCAGCTTGATCACATGCGTTTGCGGGAGAAGGGATCTGATTAGGGTTGGTTCAATTGCGTGTGGTCCGCTTTTGATCACTGTTGGTTTGGTTGCTGGAATAGAGGCTAGATGCTGTTGTAGCGCAATAGTGTACAGCTACATCACTGACAAGCGTCACAACCAAGGAAAGTCATGACACAAGGACTTTCCATGGATGAAGACTTTTTTTTCCTTTAATTGTCATCATTCTCTCGACATCGACATCTATGTTGTATTTACATAAAAAATGTAAACATATTGAAAGTTTCCTTTTCACTCCTTGTCATTACATTACAATACATTCATGCTTTTCCTCTCCTGTGTCAGCACCTCAATAGGATTGAGTTAGTTTGGGTTGGTTAATTGAGAGGCGGTCCAGGTGGGACGGCCGGCTGGCATGGGCTGGTGGCAAAAAAGTCCCCTGTTTGGACACACAGCGGGGGCCCAAGGGCCCAGGGGAGGTTGATTGTATTGAGACACAGACACACGAGAGGAAGAATGTACTGTATGAGAATGAAGAGGGATGAATCGATACAAACAGACAAGTAGGGTTGTATTTAGATATGTACACGGCTTATGTAAATACAACGTGGCTGTCGGAGTTGAGCAAAGAATGAAAAGCTATGGGAAGTCTTTGTCCAAGGACAGTCTAAGTCATGACACACTTTCCTTGGGAAGTCTTTGTCCAAGGACAGTCTAAGTCATGACACACACTTTCCTTGGGTATGACACTTGTCAATGATGTATGTAGTGGTGTGCGTAATGTGTCAACTTACGTACTCCCAGCCAACAGATTGAATACTGTCAAGTCAAGGGCAAACTCCAGGACGAGAAAAAAAAAACAGCACACGGATCGTGTTTTCTGAAATACTATTTCTTTTCGATACATATGTATTATGTATTTACTCAAGGAGCTTTATAATCCTGGCGCATACGTATATGTACAGCCATTCCGAGAAAATATGCTTGCTACTTGGGAGTCAGAATTTTTTTCTTTTTTTCTTTTTGTTTGCGCCCAATGTCAGCATTCCTGTGCAATGCCATAGGCCACATTTGACTGTTAAAAAGAAAGGTGAAAGGTTGGTGCGCAACCTGCATACTGTCTGGATTTTATTGGTAAATATTGACGCATATATGTAGAGATTTGGTCATTGTAATAGCCTAAACCAACAATAATTTTTGGGGTAATTGCACTTGAAATTATTCTTCAAGACTACACAAGGCATGTAGGATTTTATCTACATCACTATCTTCACTTGTTGGAATAGATAACTCTCTGCTTGTCTGGTGAGAAGATCTTGGGAAATCAGGTGATCCTGTGACTACTTCAGGATTTACCGTGCTCTGGAGATGGATGCTAGGGGATGGAGGCTTGGGGTTGACTGTAGAGGAATTAGAACAGAGTAAGAAAAGCTCATGATTCCAGTATTTAAAAGCTGCCGGAGACCCATCAGAGGGTCTGTTGATACATTTCAAAGAGTAGCGATTGGCAAGAGAAACTCGAATCACCCTTGAACCAATCTCAAAGCCATTGGGAAAAAGGTTGCCATGTATCAAGGACAGGGCCTTGAGGGCAGCCTGAGAATACCCACCAGGAAAGACAGTCAGAGAGGTTTCTAAAACATTAAAAGTTGTGAGGCGGCCACAAAAGGAAAACAGGGAAAAACCCCCCTCACCTTGACTGTTGGAAAGTGGACAAAAGCATATACACAACTTGTGCAAGTGGCCTGATCCATGACCAGCATGATGTTCTGGATGGGAATGCTTTCAGGCGGATCACATATCATCTGCAAGGATGTATGGATATCTTGAAGGGTGGTCTTCTTGTTGAGCCCTCGTAATAAAAGGATTGAAATGGGCATCTGACCCACATCGTCATCTCCATCATTCCTACGATTTTGTTTCACCTCTGGTGGCTCAGTGCTATAGTCGATTTGGATCTTCAATGTTCTGTAGTAGTCGCCATGTGAAGAATTGTCTGGTTCTTTCCAGGACATCAGTGGGAATCTCGGCTTGACGAACTCTTTGGCACGATCCAGACCAAAGAAGTGGGCGTATGCATAGCGTCTGCTTCTGCTCGTTTTGGGATTGTAGATTACATTGACCAAACAAACCGCAGCTCCAGCGCTTTCTAGGAACTTGAATACAGAAGAGTTGTCCGCCAACCCGGGAATGCCCTTGAGAATGATTGATTGGGAAACTTTAGACTTGGGTTGGTTGATGTTGAAGGCAAATTGCTCTGGGTGGTTGCTTGGTTTGGTAAGATGATTATTTTCATGGGAAGGAGGATTGGAAGGTCTCCTGACAACTTCTTTGGGTGTCCTTGTTGAATGTGATGAATGATACGGATGATGATGACAATAAGGAAGCTGAAGGGGGGAACATGTTTATCAGTTTTCAATAGGCAGCTGCAACAAGGGAGAGGGGATTGAATAAGGAAGCAATGATGAGCTTAGAAAACCACGCTTACAGGCTTTGAAGCCTTCTCGGGGCGGTTCATGTTTGCGGAGGGAGGAAAACAGCTGACTTTGTTCATCTGAGGTGGAGAGAGAGAGGATATTGTGTTATACCCCATCCATCCAGAAGATGTGGAATTGAACCATTCATACACAAAACAGGCCCCAATCACAATTTAAGTCAAATTAAATTGTGCTTGTAAGCCATCCATCCCACCTTGCATCGCAAACCACAGCCCAGGCATATATCCTTGCTTCTCTTGAGGGTTCTGAAAGGGGGATATATGTGCAGATCCAAACCCTGTCCAACGGAGATACCGTTTGGATCACAATCTGTGGGCATTACCCTGCTGATCCTTATTAATTGTGGTCGACACCCAACCTCAGCCTCATCCAACACGGTCAACAAGACCTGCTCAAACTCAAGAAAAAAAAAGCTCACATTCTCACCCACCCATCAAACTAACAAACATGGCTCTGGCATCAGACAGCGCCCAGTTTTTACTACACAGGATTGATCTAGCCAATGACGGCCTCCCCTCATACTATCCAAACCACCCAAAGCCAATCTTCAGGAAGATGTATGTTTCTCTCCATTTCTACATGAGATATCTCCGGTGGCCAGAGTCTCATAGGCATTTCATTTCTTCTTCTAACCTTAGTAGCGAAACCCAGGGCCTATCAATGGCTGTCAAGACACTTCCAACACATGGTATGAAACAGATCATTTTGAGCGTTTATATTGACAGATTTCCTAGCCAATGTTTGAAAGGCATGCTCAGCTTGGTCAGTACAACCTGAAGAATACTCCTGTTGACCTATTGAGACTGATGCAGATCTCTAGGCTCATGTAAACTTGACGAGAACCCATGAAACTCTTCAAACTGAAGAAAACGGACAGAAGGTTATCAGGACAACCTATAAGGAGCATTGCAAAGGACCAGTCTTTCTACTGACTTTTGGGGTTGCTTACTGCAACGGTTCAGTGAGTCTGAGGATCTCCTGGGAACAATCACAACAAATATGCCATCTAACCCTAACCCTTGCCGCCTGCAATGCTGCTAATTATGAACCGTTGGCAAGGAGTGCTCAAGAACATCGAGGACTTGGACCGGCTCAAGAGAACCCTGGACCCGCTTTTAGGATACAGAACAAGATCACATCCCAAGCCCAACCAACTCATCCACTCATCTGATCAAGAAAGCGCATGCCCCTCATCATCTGCAACTGCGGCGCCAATTTCTGTCACCAGTCCTACTGATTGCTACAGCACCCTTCCCCATACGAGTCAAATCCTCCGCAAATCTCAGACCATGAGCTCATTGAATGATCTCCCACCTCAGCAGTTCCACGAGCTTATGAAGACGGTCTGTAGAAGTCCTGATTTCCGTCAATCAATTGAGAGTGTTAAACGTCATAAACCTCAACATGTTAATCGGTCTTGAGTTCATTTATGGATAGGTTAAATATTGATCTGTTGTGTGGAATGCTATAAGAAAGAGTGGAAAAAAGATGTGAAACGGATGGCTAAAGTACATAGTAAAGAGTTCATGGAAGCCTTCCGTGGTGTAATAAGACCTTGAACAATTGATTGGCGATCTTGTCTTGTGAGTCAATAACCAATTGTTGGTCACTTTGGCTCATGTCAATTGTCTGTGACGGAGGAGGAACATGAACCCTGGGTGTCAAATTCCTTGGTTCCATGAGGGAGAAAAACAGAATGAAAGCCACAACAAAAACTCATCAAGATTCACTGACCACAGGCATCTTTGCAACTTGATGTCTAGCTTCCTTGTCCTTAGCAGAAGCAGCTATTGAGGCAGTGTATTTGGACATATCAATGACGGTAGCTAACTTCTTGGTTAGGAACTGTCAGAAGCCCAGTTAGTTTCAGTGGTCAAAAGGTATTCAAGAAAGAGGTTGAAGACCGCAAGAACTCACCTTTTGCCATTGTGAATTGAAAAGCAATGGTATTTCTTTAGATAGGTGGCCCATTAGGTCACGAATCAAATTGACAGTGAGATTGTTCGTCACTTGTGTGAAAGATAATGGGTGGCTAAGCCTCCGTGCTTCAAATAGTACATCCACTTGCAAAGAGGAGATTCGTCCAATGTTCTGCTGGGCAAGAAGCACTTTGAGAGGCTCCCGGATGGGCTCAAATGATAAGGCAACTGGTTTAGGATTCATTGAGTCAGCCATCCACCCCCTTTAGAGTTGCTCACACAATGGTCAGACTTACAAGTTGCATTCCTAAACTGTGTTTCTTCAGGAGTTATCCCAGTTAGGCAGACAGTGGTGCCTTTGGAGAACTGGATGTGAAGGTTTCAAGTGAGTTGGCTCCATGGTTTATCATGTTAAGCATTGATACACAAACACAAAACTTGCCTGATAGAGTGTGGTGAAAATGGTTCCAGCAATGCTTTGAATAATGGTTTCTTCAGGGTCCTCCAATTTCCCAATGAGCTTGATTGCAACACTCAGAAAGAGAGGGTCATTTATCGGGTTGAGTAAGGAACACGCAATTGGATTGATGGATTTGGGAACCCAGACATTAAGGGTGACTGAATAGATGATCTGTTTGAAATCATTGTTAGTATCTGCTCAAAGTGGGAGGTGTAATTTGGAAGTGGGTTGATCAGTATGGAGCGAAAATTGATCTGGATCCACTGTTCTGACGGAGTGGCTGGGATCTATGTGTGTGGTGCAAGAAACCAAATCTGTTAAATTAGCGCTGGAGTGTGGAAGACTACAGGAATGATGAGATCAATCCTACTTGTGAGCCTGGGGAGGGTGAGCACAACAGGAGCAATGGGTGATTGTGTTGAATGGGATGGTGTGAATCGTAATGAAAATGTTATTCCTGAATCCGTTATCAAACACCCCCCCCCCTACCTAATGAGCAGGCACAGCACACAGCAAAACTCAAAAAATTATTATGAAAATGAATTCAGTTGGAAAAGGGATCGGTGATATTCATAAGAGATTAAGGCAGCAATAGTCCTGCCTCTGGCATTGACCCCTTGGTTAGGGAGGGTGGGGTGTGGTCAAAAAAAATGTAGGCCAATACCCCACTAAGGAGAGGGGGGATGAGGCCGCTAAAGGCAAACAGTAGAATAGGATGGGGTCAGCGGCTGTGGGAAGGATAGAGCCTGGTGTAGCATAGAGGTGCTCAGGTGCACAGAAAAACCGGTTAAGTGTATGAGTGGTAGTCACACACGTGCACAGGCTGATAGCAAACAAAAGAGTGTGTATGTCAATTTCATATCTAGATTAGATCAATGATGAAAACATAAAGGAAGAAAAGAAAGAGGCCGATCAACTGAGAGCTCTCTCTCTCTATAAGAAAAAAAGGACAAGAACACAGCGGGGGGTGGCGCTTTCACACTGTGACACTGTGCAGTTGGAAAAGCGAGTGCGCTAAATACGCAAGGCCTTCCTCAAGTGTGTGTGTGTATCCGCTCCTCTGCCTCTGGAGATCTGGTTGAGGAGAGTACTCCAATTGATAGGTCTCTCCAGCCCCACTAGCGTGGTCATAGTAGGTCCCTCCCACTGCTGTGAACGTATCCGTTACCCCCCCCCCCTCTCTCTCCAAATGGAGAGGTGATTAGAGATGAGATATGCGCTTTTGACCTCTTGCCAATATCTTCCCACCGATCACCAGAGGAGGTATTCCTTTTGACCTCCTACCTGTTGGAATGTCACTCCTTGTCTTAGCCCTCAAAAGAGGAGATTGTCAGGTAAGTTTTTATCAAATGAGTTTGATAAACTTCCTGAAAGCTAAATCATCATTGCGCTGATCATTGTTTTCTTGATCACGCGCAGAATTGAGCTGTTCTGCAAAAGAACATAATCATGTTTTAGCTTGTGATTCAAGGGATGATGTCATTGACGTCATAAGCGCAAACATGAACTTTGACTGTGATCAATCATCAAGCTCTAGGTGAGTCTCGAATGATCAGATCACAAGAGTGAGAGGAATAGAATTGAATGAACAATCGTGGTTCTGATTCTTTTCCTTCAAACAACTTCATTCAAAATTTGCTTAGCTTACTCTTGTCAAAACCAACTTCAACCAAACTCATCGATTGTATATTTCCAAAGAAGTTAATACTTCTTCAGCTTTTTTCTTTATAAGAAGAAAAAGAGAGAGACTAAACTATTTTGATTAATAACGGTGTGTTAGATACATTGAATCAATAGTATCATTTAGGTCTCTACTGCAACGAGATTTATTATCTTTAGTCATAAAAAGTAAAGTACTTCTCTTTTAGTTTGATATTGAGCGTAACAAGAAAAGATTCAGGAATAATCACTAACAATTAAATAAATGTAATTAGTTATCTTTATTTTCTTGAAACAAAAAACAAAGCAACTCAGTCTTGAATTATCTTTTCATTGTTATCAGAACATTATTATTAGTCATAGCAGATTAAAGATATGCCTTCAGGTATTTCTTTATTATATTTTTATCAAAAATATTCACTTGTATTTCATTTAAAAGAATTAATACTCATAAAGAAATAAAACTTCAGTTTCAAATTCTTTCACTACCAACATCTTTGCCGCAGATCACCAGACGAGATATTCTTTTTGACCTCTTTACCAACATCCCTTGCCGCTGATCACAATGTCAGAACCTCCAGGAAGCTACAACTCGTCTGGCGATTACCACTCTCCTATATATTCAATCTATACAGACAGTGGTGAGTTCGTTCACTAAATCAAACCGCTTGAGGCAACTCTAGCTGACTAATCTACCCTGCAATATTTGCAAAAGAGGGCCAATCTAGTGACCAAGCTCAAAATGAAGAAGAGCAAGATATAGCTTCTGTGATTCCCTCAATATTCTCAGAGGTTCTCCAGGCAATAACCTCAAACCCAGGGTTATACAAACCCCTCAAGCTCAACCAGCCTGCCCAGGATACGTTAGAAGCTATTGAATCTGTCCAACCTGATCCTCCGGATGATCAGAAGATTGAAGATGAGCCTAACCCTAAAGATGATGAGTGTGTTGTAATCATCATCTCTCTTTTTTTCGCTCCTTCTGCGCTGCTGAAAGATACGTGTTTGCATCTCTTGCCATCTCCAGGACAGAGATAGGTTTGAATAAGATCGAAGGGTTTATTATCGAGTTTTTGACAAAACTTAACTATGCTGCTGATAAGGCACACTGGCCTGTGGGGTTCCAAAGGGGTGAACTGCAAATAACCCTTCCGATGAAAGATAGTAGTCATCACCCCGGACAAGAAAGAGGGCTCCAATTCCCAAGAGGAGTGGAGCGAAAGACTTGTCGCTTTGGTGAGTTCCAAAATCAGTTGACTTATCGATCCAAGTTGTCCCAGTCTGTCTCTTTATTCTTTGATTATACCTTCAGCACGATTCCTCCAGGTGTTGGACCTCTCACATTTGGCCATTTTAGAAAGGACGCCAATCTTGATCCGGTGAGTTTTGGAAAGCATCACCCTGACTCCAAACACTTGCATTGATCACTGCTTGTTTTGGTGGTCCACAGGGACGTTTATTACCACAACATGCCCCTCTTCCTCAAGCAAGTTTGTGTGGAGGAGGTATGATTGGATATATCTATTTACAAAGAGGGTTTCCAAGCATGTTGATTTATTTTTGGGTGCTTATTGACAGATAGTCAACGACCTTTCAAAAACTTTTAGAATTGAGAGGACCCATTTATTCATTGTCAGGAGTCTTAATCACTTGGATAAATTCTATTAAATCACTGATAAAATCGTTTTTTACAACCAGTTTGCTGGTGGCAGGGGAATATTTCACAGTGACCTGAAGATTGTTTCCAAAGTGAACAAGGATATGGTCACCGTTGATGGGAAGCCAGCATCAACATTGATCTCTCCGATGGAGACAGTAGAAGCGGTTATACCTGGATAAAATGTTAAAATGATCTTAATTGTTGAAAAAGAGGTCAGCCAAACCTCATTGGCCACAGTAGTTGAATCTGACAGAAACTAACTCAGACAATGCACGCTATATCAGGCAGTCCTTTCCATGTTGGCCAGAATGGATATCAATCGTGATAAAGAACTGTCTCCCTGTATTATCATCAGTGTGGGTTCATGCTCTTGTTGTTCCCACCAAGCAGATTGGTCTCCTTCAATTTACTAATCTCTTCTCTCCTTATGATTTCCCCAGGGAAAAGGAAACCCTGACCTTGCCACCCGTGGTCTGTGCTCCAGGCTTACGAGTGATCCCACGCTGATTCAAAGAAATGTCCCCACATACATTCTCACAGATGCAGACCCATATGGATATGTGATTGCATCCCTTTACAAGAATGGGAGTCAAAGGATGAACTTTTACCCTGGCCTTTGCTCACCAAATGCCGTTAGAATAGGAGTGACTCCATTCGATTTGCTTGAGTTGAGTTTTTCTGGGCAATGGTTGCACTAATGAAGTTGAATTCTCTCCGGCTATTTGCTACTGATGGGATATTCTAACATACAGATTTCAGGTTCATCGTGGCCTCCGGCAGGAAATGTCAGATAAGGATTACAGGAAATCAACTGAGATTATGTCTTCTGAAAGAATACCAGAGACCCACAAGTGAGCAATTCGAGTTTGGTTTGAGTATGATTTATTTTTAATGAAGAAACAACATCTGGGATTGTTATAGGAGGGAGATCCAGGAACTCATGGATGCAAAGATAAAAGGGACCATTGCCATTCTCGATTCATCCAAAAATCTTGAAGGACGTGGTTCTCATAAACTACTGACCTACCTCAAGCAGAAGATCTTGCCCCTCCCAACATCTGATTCTGCCTGATGGGTATTTTTCCTGAAAATCTTTGGTCACTTAGCCCTCTCTCCAGTAGTTTATTGTTGACAGTTATTCAACCTCAGATCTTAGCTTTGCATGACTGGTACTCCTGAATGCACCAAATGAATGTTTCTTCAAAATTTGTGCTATGTTGCGCTACTACTGTAACCATGATGGGGTCATAACTCCAGTTCTGTAGCCTCTCTCAGCAGACTGTTAAGCTACGGATCCTGAAATCTTAAAGATGAAAGACTCTTCCCCATTTGGCAAAAAAGTATTTCGTAGAGATGAACATTATAGCTATAATATAGGTATGTTAATACATATTTTGGTCGATGAGCCATTGTAGAGTGTAAAACAATAAAATATGAAATAATATAGTGACATGTGAGTGAGAGAGAGAAAGTATGGATACATAAATAAGTGTAGACACCATGAAACAACACAGACAAGGTCGGGCGTCGAAAAGTGTGCTTGAAATTGATTGCGCGTGTGAGAGCTATGTCGACTGGCCAATCCCAGTGACAGTTGCCAGCAAGGTGTGCTATCCCACAAATACAACCTCATTGAATCTTCGTCCTGCCTGGCCAATGCCACCCCAAAGGCAAGTCCCCCTCTCTTGGTTGACTCCGTATCTCACTGGTTGCTGGCGAGGCCCATCTGTGGTCTGCCCTCCGGTTTGTCTCGTTGTTTCCTCGGCAGGTCTCTCTTGGTCAACTCCGTATCTCACTGGTTGCTGGCGAGGCCCGTCTGCGGTCTGCCCTCCGGTTCGTCTCGCCGTTTCCTAATCAAGGACATGCGCTAAGCATTAGCATGACTCAACAATCTTCCTCTTTGGACAATCAAAACTCAATCATCCTTCACAACGATCACCCTCCAACACAAGAAACTCACGACACCGTCAGCGAATCACCTTCTGGCCATTCTCAGTCGGTAGAAGAAATGCAAGGAAAGCTCCCTGGATGACCAAGAGAGCCATAGAGTTCTTGACGACTAGCAATGTGACAGAGGTTGGCAAAATCGCACATGTTTCATCTGAGCAACCTTTGCGTGGTCACGTTGAATTGCCAATACTTCCACCGGCAGCACTGCCAACCCCGGAACCGGTAGTTGTCATTGAAGACACAGCGGCAGCATCTGAAGTCCCCACGAACCAATCCAAAGTCACAGAGAATACAGGGCACTCTGAATTACAGTCTGAAACAGCATTACCCATTGACCATTTGGATGAAAAACCGCCAAGCTCCACGGGTATTAAACCATCTTCTGAACTTTTTTTTGATCAATCGGTTCCAATGCAGAGTGAAAGGTTTGTCAATTCTCCTGATAGCTCAAAAATACTTTCAAATGAATACTAATTAGCACTCCTTTTGCAGGCTTGACGTTCTTGGCACCAAACATGTAGGCCAGAGTCCAATTGAGCTGGTTGCACCATCAACCAAGGGCACCAGTGACATTCCAGACCACGTCTCGGCCCTCATGATTAATGAATCGGACTCTTTGCGCCCGATCACGAGCGATGAGGACTTGGCTGGGTCATCTCAACTTGCTCGCAATACTTTGATCCAGGAGGAGAATGCAGCCATAGTATTCTCTACAAAGCAATATTGCTCAAGAACACGTTGCCGCCATGTCTCCTCAGCCCGACCCATCTTCTCCCATAGAACAACCTGATTTGACCCCAGCTGTGACCAATTCTGAATTAGTTGCCCAACCCGTTGATGCTGTTGATACCAATGCGACACCGGCAGTTGAGGCCCAGATCATCGAGCCCACTCAGTCTGATTTGCACCCTGACGCGGCACTCCTTGATGATCATTCAGGCAACAAGGAAGAAACGGGCTCAAAAGAGTCGGCTGGGCCATTAGATGAAAATACTCGCGAAGTTGTATCAGACCCTGTTTCCGGCAATCATGAGACGCCAGTTCTCAACACCATCCAGAAACAGTTGAGCCGCCCTCGGAAAGTCCGCACGAAGATAGCTCTCAGCTGGTCGTGGGTGATGAAAAGTACGATGAGGTTGAGATTCCGTGCAACGAAGTACAAGACTCTATTGATGCGGCAGACAGTGTCGCAATCGCATCTAGTCCCCCTGGGAAACATCACCCTGATTATGGTCAAATGTTGAAACCTCTCGACCGGACCACACCACAACCTGGCACCCAAGCTATGTCGGCTCTCCCTGTCGAGCATTTCGACAAAGACACAAGTGTCAGTTCTCCTCAGCTCAATGAGCCTGTTGATGTGGATGAAGTGCTCCCAGTGGCAAGTGAAATGTCAGTACAAGATCTCGACACTTTGAAAATCCTGTCTATTGATCACTAATGAGCATTCAAATCACAGGCATGATGACCATACCATAGAAGGTGCTGCAGAGGACGCAATTGAGCAGGCTGCATTGTCAAACGAAAGTACCACCAAAATTCTTGACCAGGTCTCTTCTCGCGTTGAAAACGAGCCTCGTTCTCTACACCCAATTGCTGCCAATGATAATTTGTCTGGGTCATTGCACATTGCTCCTCAAGATGTCCCGATCCTGAAGGACAATGTATCAGCAATGAATCCCGAAGATGTCGCACAGGAGGATCCTCTCAGAAACGATCATGGTAATGAACTTGCCACGACCATGCCCCTGTAAGGACTGGTGATGTCCTTCACTAGATGAGTGAGAAAAAGGCTCAGGGGATGGGCGGGAAACCGGAACAAGTTCTAAGACCAAACAGGGTGTTGTGTATTTCTGGCTCAGAGAGAGGTTGGGATCAGATCTCTCTACAACATCACATGAAAGGAAAACAAAGCAAACAAGATGAAGAATAGAAATTAGGACTCACCTGGCTCAGAGAGAGGTTGGGATCAGATCTCTGCTGAGCCAGGAAAGGAACAATGGTCCGGGATAACTATGAGAAGAAGAAATGATGTGAAACCTTTGTGAAACCCTGACGGAGGAGGGAGGGGGTTTACAGTCTCCCCTCCTATAAAAAAACTGAAAAAAATAAAAGGACAAGAGAAGAAGGAAGGAATTAAGAGAGCAAATACTCCTCCAGAAGATATGGCTTCTCTAACAACCTGCAATGTCGTCCGCCAAGTTGTTGGTCCAACTAGTAGAAGATTGAGTTGCCCGATCAATTTTGTTTTGCAAGAGTTGATTGTCGAGGTCCTCAAGTGCAGCCACAGCTGCTGTCCGAAGGGCCAGGAAGCAACCTTCATTGTCGAATTTGTGATCCATGAGAGTCTCTTGCCTGATTGCTGCGTCGAGTGTCAGTCCGGCAACGTGAGCTTCAAGCGGTGTTGCTTCTGCAATACCTGCCACACTTGCTGCTCGAGCTGGAGGTTGGCCGGCTAGGGGTTGAGAAGATTGTCCAGGGCCGGCAGCTGGTTTACTCCAGGCACGGGGGGCCACATAGTCAAGTGGCTTGGTCGGCGTTTGGAATTCGTTGGGGATATTGATGTGTGAACGGTCAATCGGACCGGGGCAGGCTCCAGCGGCGTTGCCGCAGTGCTTCTTGCAGAAGTGACAGAGACCCTGCGAGTCCAGAAAGGCATGGACTCGCCATATGAATTCATCACGGCCGAGAGTCGGTGGGGCGTTAGGAGTTGACTTGGTTATTGTTGTTGGTCGCGCGGGTCTTTGCAGCGCGAGGAACAATGCGTTGGATTGTTTCTCAAACTGACCATACGCGAAAGGGGATGTTTCTAGAAGTTGACGTTCGTGAATCCTGTCTTGAAGGGCGTCGGATAAACCGTATACAACGAATTGAGCTAGTTGAAGATCTCCGAGTTTGGATAGTTTCTCGGCGTCAAAATTGAATAAGCTCTGAAGGGTGCGAGCTCGTGTGCTGTATTCTAAGAAAGTCTCGGTTTGCGACATCTCTAGTTTGCGGATTTGTTGCTGGAGTCCAGAACGCCAATTATTAGGGAGCGCGAAGTCGAACATACGAGCTTTGAATTCCTCCCAGGACTTGTTGAGAAAACTCGCCGCTTCGTTTGCGTAGAAAGACTGAAGGTTTGTTTCTGCTACTAGGTTTCCGAGTATTTTGATCTTATCGGCTGCGTTGCTGACGCTCTTTGTTTCGAAGAAAATTTGTACGCCGTGAATCCAACGCAAGAATGGTTTGGTTTCTTGAAACGGTCCACAAAAGGTTGGGCCGTCGGAGGTACGAAACTTCTGTAGGTCAACCCGACCTGGCGCTGGTTGTTCGGCTCGGGAATTGACCTTGTTTTTGATATTCATAGCGAGGAGTAGGTCCTCCAATCGTCGGATGCGGTCCGAGCTTGCTTGATGAGCCGCAAGAATTATCTGACGATCCGCACGACAATCTTCTAGTGCTTGTCGGCGATCTTCCTGGGCCTGTGTTATCGCTGTGTGTTGGATCTTGAGCACGGCTTTAAACCACTCTTTGGCCGTGCTCATGTCGGATGCATCGGCAGTACGATTGGAGTCGCGGGTGGAATTGCCGGTCGGTTGTTCTTGGCCTCCAGGTGGGGGAGCCGATTCTGACATGATTACAGATGACGTAGTCGGTGCAGAGGGAACCGGACCAATGGATTGGGCAGAAGCCTGTTTGATGCGTCTCTTTTCGGCGTTGCCGGCTTTCAGTATTGCCTCAGGGTCTGTCAAGGGGTGTACGTTGTCGGTGGTGGCGTTTGTCCTCGTTATCATGAACCGGGTGAATTGTGAAAGAAAGAAAAAAAGGAAACAGTTTGGTCGGCGGGGGAGGAAAAATAGAGCGAGGCAGTCTTCGAAACAGTAATCGGAGCGGGACAGTTGGATCGAAACGGAACAGTACAGTCGGTTGGTCGGAACGGAACGGGGTAATCAGTCGGAACGGGCTAGTAGTCAATCGGAACAGTCACTTTTGATTTGAATTTGCGATCGAAACAGTCGAAGTTGAGTTGGGTTTGTTTGGTGTGAGAAAAAAAAAGTGTAAGGACTGGTGATGTCCTTCACTGGATGAGTGAGAAAAAGGCACAGGGGACGGGCGGGAAGCCGGAACAAGTTCTAAGACCAAACAGGGTGTTGTGTATTTCTGGCTCAGAGAGAGGTTGGGATCAGATCTCTCTACAACATCACATGAAAGGAAAACAAAGCAAACAAGATGAAGAATAGAAATTAGGACTCACCTGGCTCAGAGAGAGGTTGGGATCAGATCTCTGCTGAGCCAGGAAAGGAACAATGGTCCGGGATAACTATGAGAAGAAGAAATGATGTGAAACCTTTGTGAAACCCTGACGGAGGAGGGAGGGGGTTTACAGCCCCCTCATCAATTCAAAGCACCCGAATCTCCCTTGGTACCAACTCAAGTTGATGTTCTCATCAATGAAGGGCTATCAGTGGAATCTGCCAGGTTAGTCAGCACTGCAAACCCTTGAGATTTGTTGAAGCCAGGTCTGATTGAAGCTCACTACAGCCTCAACAATCATCTCATCGACGGTGGAGCGAAAGACGTCAAGCAGGCCGCTCCACCAGACGGGGGCACCAGCAAACAGGTACCCGATCAGGCGATTCCCCACAACAGAACCAAAACGTCTCTTCAATCTCGGAAAGATGACGGTTCCAGATTTGCAGGCGATGAAACTTCAAAATCAGCCAATCTTATCAATATGACACATGTATCTGAAGCTCTGGCCGCTCCATCTTCTGTTGCAAACATCCATGCCGGTGCAACTCATCTTAACTCTGAGGCCGATCCAGACTCCCCAGCCAAAGAGCCCTCTCAATCTCAAACTGATGATATCACACAAATTGTCCCGAGTGATTCAATGGACAAAATGGACGGAACCTCCTCCAATCAATCTCAAGATTCTAGTGGTGCAGAAGAGTTGCACTCAACCGCGGCTGCTCCACACGAGTGTCAGCCTCAGTGATGCAAAGAGCCAGAACTCTTCTAGCTACACTAGGTGCAAAGGTATAATAAGAGGTGCACACGTGTGGGTAACACGTGAAAAGTGGGGGAGGTGTGTGTAAATAAAAAACTTAATAGTTTTTATTTACAGAGGGGCCTGAGTTACAGGGGCTTTTATGGTTCCCTCTAATATCAGGTCCTGGGTTACAGGGGTGGTACTGATGCTCTGGTCCTTTGTAATAAAAAAGTATGCCCAGAATAGCCTACAACTGAAGAATCAAAGAAATAATACTTACTAGTACTTATCTCTAAGCCAAGGAGGTCTTCAGGAGGGGGGAACTGTTCTTGAGGCGCTCAGAAAGGTGGGTGAGAGATGTTGAAGGAGCTGGGGAACAGGTGTTGGGTTGAAAGGTTGAAGTTCAGGTTACAAACAGCAGGAACAGGGCCAAAAGGCAGGTTGATACTGGGTGTTGGTGACAGTTTATGCTGGTAAGTAATGATGAAGATGGGGAATCAAAGTTCAGGGGGAAGAAGGGGCTCTTAAATACCCATTCTGGGCCTCTGGAGGCGAACTCAGGAGTCTCTCTAGTTGCTACAACTCTCCTACTAAGCCTATGGGAGCTTTTGATCATCTGTAGCACCTGTAGAGCTTGGTTACAGGTGTCAAGGAGATGATGTAATGCTTGTAACCATGTTTACAGGGTGTTCTGACAAAACTGTAACACTCCTGTAGCCTATTTTAGCACTGCATGATGCATGGGTTGATCCTCAAGAGAGTAATTGTCCCAATTGGGCCAAAAAGGGCCACAGATCATCCCAAACAATTTAATACTGTAGTCTGTGCTCATGTAGTTAAGGTTTCAATGATGTAAACCTTGTTTGTAGATTTTTCCCGAACTGCATGAACCTTAATTACACATGTAGCCCCCTTACAACATGTAGTATGATGTAACTGGAGGGGTCTACAGTGTATTTTGGTCCAATACCACTCAAGGACTACAAAGTAAGTGAAGGAGTAATAATTCAGGGGTACACTTGGTGAGCTACCCTAGGTTATTTTGCATGTAGATTCAGAATCTGCAATAATATTCTGAGTTATACTTAAGGTTCAGAAGTTATTAGGAGATTCTGATTAAAAATGTTATTTTTCCTTATTTATTTAATTATTTAAATGTTTTTCTAATGGAATATTACAATGTAAGTGTACAGTGTAATAATGTCTCTATTATAGTGCTTCCACTTATTTAAATAGTATATTTTATTGTTTTTAATGGTATGTACATATGTAAGTAACAATATCTCTAATTTATATGTAAAATGTTATGTTCAGGCTGGATCTGATTAGTAGCAGGCTGACAACGAGCAATGTCAGCTGCCGATCTCACGTAGAGATCAAGCTGGACAAAGTCGGTAGTAGTAATGAAATATATTACTACTATAGGTAAGACTAGATACAAAGGAATAAGGGAAAAGAGAGGAGAAAAGAATAAGAGATAGGTTTTTTTTTTATTTATTTAAATTTATATTCTTTAAGAATAAATATAGCCGGTAAAGGAACACCTAGGCCTCTATTCCTGGAAGGTAGGAATAGGATCAATCAGATATGTTTTGATTGTGATAATTTTTTATCCAGTCAAGAGACATGGAAGGGTTATTAAAATCAAACCCGATCAGTAGTTTAAATTTTATAGGATTGTTTTAAATTTTTTTTTATGATTGATTTTATTTATGAGAATTAAGATCGAGTGGAAAGGAAAAGGGAAAGTGGAAACAAGAACTATAAGATTACTTTTAATCTTGTTTGAGGGAAGAGAAGGCTTACTTCAAGGATTCCGGAAAGGTATATCAAGCTAGGAAGAGTAATTGTTTTAGGGTATCGTTTGAGGTTGATCTAAGGAGGAAAGAATAGAAAAGAGAACGAGTCGATCAAAATCTTTTAATCTCAAAATTAATTTGTATAGACAATTAGTAAAAAAGGGATTAGATAGAGTAAGACAAACAGAAAGATTTGTTTTCCGGTGAGTTACACTAAGTAATTACCTTTTATTTTGTTGTCTCAAAAGTAAGTATGAGAGGTAAAAGAATTTTTTTTCGATGATGGGGGAGGAAGGACTATTCCAGTCTCAGGTGTTGAATACTTTGTACCAGTCCTTCTTCTAAAGTTTGTTGTTGTTTGCATTGCCTTGATTTGATCATCTTGCAAGGCTGAAGTCATTCTTTTGAAGATTGCTTTCAATATTCAAGGGATTTGGTTTTCCTTGATTAATCTTAATTTCAAGAGATCACATATCTGTGAAACCTCTAACATGTACGTGAAATCTTCATTATTTCCAATTTTATTAATTTTTATTTGTTTTAATTGTTTTTTGTGAAACCTTTAGGACTTGTCAACATGTCTCTAAGGTTGACAAGCAACTTCAACCCGGTACTAGTCAAGAGCCAACTGTCCAACCAGCCCTAGAGCCGGCCGCACAACCGACACCAGGGCCAGTGGAAGCTACGGATGGGACGAAGGCGCCTGAAGCTTATGTTCTCCAGTCTACAATCTCAGAAACTGACATGGGTCTAGCCCCCCGCAGAGAATTCGAGTGACCATTGCTCCCGTCTGCAGCACCACCCCCCCAATCACGCCAAATGCCCAAGATTTGAGGTTTAGATAACTGCAAACTTTTATCCAAAGGACATCGACGTGCTTCCAAATGAGCCGAGTCATAACAACCACTGCAGCAATGATAAATATGTTGGAGAACACATTCATGACGGTAAGCATCATAAGTGAAATTGAGTTTGGCGGCAATAGCATCGATATCCATCGGAACCCCATTGGAGAGTCTGGGGGGTGCTTTGGACAAATCCAGTTTGGAAGGTAACTGAATCTTCTGAATGATGGGTTGAGGTTTCTAACTCAAACGGTCTATCAACGCTACGCCAGGCACATCAGCAGCCAACTCGACGGCCATCGCTTGCTTCTTTGCGAAATCCGTCACCCCGTTCCAGCCACCTCGCAAAATCCCAAGCTGAATAATCTTAGGAATCATTGCTTCATCATACTGGTGGGATAGTGTCCTAGTATCCCTATAGTGTGGTATGCTTCTACTCTTTACAACCACAACTCAGCCTGTATTCTGTATCTATATAGTCTAGTTGTTCTCTTGTTTGTTCTCCTTCCTTACTGAATGATTATTACACCTTGACTCTACGTGCTCGGACCATGTCCTTGACCTTGCGTCAACTCTCTTAGCTCTCGTGTCACCCCAGTAACCCTCAACACATACAAATCACATTTCGACGCTTCAGAAAGATTGACGGCATAAAGTAACAAGTTGAACAAAACATTGAATTCTTTGATGGAAGTATTGCCTTGCTTCATGACACATAGCAATTTGTGTGCTTCTTCTTCACCCTTGTGATTTGAGAAGGTCGTTTTGATTGCGACCAAAAAGGCCTCTCCTGATATCAACTCGTCCAATAAAAACGGTGCCTTTGACAAAGCGGTGTTCGGATCCAAATTTTGATGATGAGCATTCTTTGCCATCAATCCACGCCACCAAACGTAGGAAGCACAGTTGTCGCCTAACTTTCCGTCCGGTTTGCGAAAGTATCCAGCAATCCACATAACCTTACGTTTCTTGTTAAGAAAGTTCTCCCCATGCATTTCTAAAGAATGTCTCATGGAAAAACAAAATTCTTTAGTTTTGGATAAGATCCCAGAAAAGTAAATATGAGAAAGATAAGGTGGGTCCCAAAATGACTTAGGCTGGACAGGTAGATGAGTAATTGAGTGATTAACAAAACCCTCCACGCAATCCAAACGAGAGTTGGTGGAATTATTAACTGAATCAATCACATTTCGCACTTGAAGAAATTGATCATTCGCATCCGTTTTGACCTTCATAAACTCAGAACTAAGGGGCAGAAGAGTTTTTAAGTCATTGAATAATTTAAGATAACGGCGTTGTTGAATCTCTAAATCAGCTATCTTTTGCGCATGAGAGAGGATTGTATCATTCAGGGATTGATTTTCAATTCCCAAATGAGAAATCAAACTCGAAACACCATCATCACAAGCAGTTGCAGGAATGATATTTGGTGTGTCGGGAATGGAATGATAAGGCATTGCAGCAGCCAAGAGGGTTGGAGACATTGGGGGGATTGGTCGTGGTTGAAAGTCGTTAGGAAGTGGAGATAATGGTGGAAGCAAAGGGGAAGGCAAAAGATAATTAGGTCGTGGCGATAAAAACTGAGCTGGCGGAGTAGGAGTTGGAGAAGGGAGTCTCATGCAAGTCGAAATCAACGGAGACAAAGAGTCAGACATGTTGAGAATCGTGTTGATTAGAAATCAAATGGACTTGATGATTGATCAATTGTGAATGAGAAGTTGAAAGTTGATTGAAATAAAGAAAATTGAGGAATCAATTGAAATGAAAATTTGAATGAATTCTTGAGGTGAAAATTCCGAACTGAAAAAAAACAATTTGTCAATGAGGAAAGAACCAAAAAATTTGTTGTCGATAAGGATAAAGATCGCAATATAACTGTGAGGGTCGGCCTACTACTTCTTGTTCTCTAGTGACTATGAAACTACTCAAGAGAGTAATTTGCCTCCATAAGAAGATAGTAGTCAAATTAAGTTTTCTTTAATAACTTTAATGAAGACTTAATCAATAATTTAGATTGTTTATGATGATGTATTACTATAGTTAATTTAAATCTAAATGATGATGAAGATAAGAAATATCGCAATAAAGAAAAAGGAAGATCAGAGGGAGGAAGAACAAGAGTGAGACTAAATGAACTAAAAGCACAGACCAATGACGACAACAAGATTTCACGGATGACATCATTTGGAAGAAAATCACATAAACCTAAGAGACTATGTAATCTTATAATCTAAATTGTATATACATAATATACGTCATCATCCATCTTTATTAATTGAAAACTTATAAATCTTACTCAATCATTAAGTTACCGGGTTAGTTATGACAATGTGTGACAAGGGTGGAACAAGGCTGAAGCAACAAAGATGGAAACATGACATATGAGGCTACTGTAACAATTTGCCATGGCATGTAATAAAGAGGAACAAGGATGATGAAGAACAGGGGTCTTTCCTAATAGTCTGGCTCTTTCTGTTGGTGGACTTTCTCCCAATTTATACCTGAGTTGTACTTATTTTATTACTAAATGTGGCTGGTGATCCATGTGGAGTGTCACTGAAAGTTTTTTGGACTTTGTGGTTCTGATGGAAGTGTCTGGGGATGATTGAAGGTGGCCATGAGTGTATTACATATGTAGGATGTCAATTTGAGGGGTGTTGTGATATGTAGAAGGTGTGAAAATGGTCCAGAAAGGTGTTAAAAAGGTGTAACAGGTTTTGATTGGTCTTACCACCCCGGCCCCCAGAGTACAAAGAGATTTGTCCATGCAGGCGGCTACCATTGCAATTTATTGCCCCTTCAGCCAAGGCGGCACCAATGGCATCAGAAACAATTGCTCATGTTGGGGGTCATTGATGTATGTAATCATCATAGAACTCCATTTGATTATTCCCTCTTGCATGGGCAGCAGACGTTGCCTGCATAAAACCAAGGCAGCAAGCAGTCCATTGCTGATGTATCAGATATATCCAAGACCAGCAGCTTTTATGGCAGAAGTGGTTGCAGTGCCTGCCACAGGAAAAGTCTACTCTGGTGAAGCTGCCAAGCCCAGACAAAAGACTACTGGGAACAAGCAAGAACCAAGTTGTGCACTTTGGTCAAAACTTGCTGTTTGAGTTGACAGTTGACAGTAGAACACCAGTGGCAAGAACAATTGTGCACAAATATCATGCTGCAAAATGCGGTTTTGGGGATGCTGGGGTAGGCTATCTTGAGATACATACTAGTTAAAATTGTGTGGATGTCAACGGCAGCAATTATTAACATCAAATTTTTGTTTTAGGTACCACCATGCATTGACTGTTGCATCATCTCCCTTAGCCATCCCATAGCCAAATAAATAGAAAGCAACTGCAGCATACAAGTAATTAACCCAAAATGCTGTCTTTCCTGTGATGTTTACCAACTTGATCAATGTGATTTTCCATAACTTCTTCCCCACTCCAGCAATGAGGCTTCTGTAACCAATTTTAACACAAGATATATATTGCTTGCCTTGAGAGGCAAGTTCTTCAGAAAGCAAAACTTTCCTGTGAATGCAGATTTCATCTTGCACTGGTAGCTCTTTTGATGACAAAAGTTTGTTAATTGTATTGTTCAATCCAAGCATGGCCACTTCTTGTGATTTGACCACATTTTGGAGTTCAATGTTTTCAAGCTGTAGTTCTTGCAAGCTGCATGAGAGCTGTTCAAAACACTTTTTGTCATCAATTTCCTAGGGTAGCGCACTTGTTGTTGGCAGGTATATCTACTCCTGATAGCAGCTAGAATTTGTACCTTTCTCTCTCCGCTTTCCCCTCTCAGACTTCATCTTGTCCACATACGTCATGCATACCTTGTCCTGGGAAATTTGCCAATTTGAGATTTGCTAACTGCTGTTGTTCTTCCAAAGATGGAGGGAAGTCAGCAAAAAAACATCTGATCTCATAACTTCAAACCCAAGATGTACTCAAGGACTTGTCCAAACACTTTATTTTTGCAATAAACTCTTCACAAAGTTCAGCCAATTGCTTCTCCAAGTTAAATCTGGCCTCTTCACTGTGCTGAAGTTGATCTAGAATTACTTCTTCCTTTCTTGAAAGCTTTTGTTCCTTTTTCTCAGACTTTTTTAAATCAATCCTGAGTCGGTTCTGTTATAGGTGACCAAGGGACAGGAATTGCACTGAGTGATACAAACCATTTACATTCAGAACAAGCCAAGAGTAAATGCCTGAGTAAAAGATATCTTATCACCTTGCGCGGGAATGGATCCATCTCATCAACCGTTCAGGAAGGGTTTTCACTTTCATAGAATTGGAGCTTGTTGAAGAGTATCCATATGAACTGAGAGAGCTGCTCTTGTGAAGTGTGTAAACTGCCAAAATATGTCAGGAAAAACATAATAGGAGATGTTACAACCCTGAAGCCCACTCAAAAATGTGAGCGACCTTGTTCACATCAAAGAGTTTTGTACATAGCTCATCAGGCAGGCTATGCGGTTCCAGTGCCCTGTGTCTGTATCTGAAATCTTAAGTCCTATTGGTCTAGCAGTGGTTTGCTGAATACTTGTGTCATCTTGTAATTTTCAGATTCAAGCAACAATTCAAGAGGTTCTTGAGTGAGCCAAAACACTCTATGGAAGCTGGTGTGAGGTGCGCCACTTTCCACCCTGATTGAATGCCGACCATGACCTATTTTCTTATTGCTCTGTCCGGTGTACATATTTATTTTTCCTTTCAAATCCTTTTGTTTCTCGTCTTGAACACCCGTTCAAAAGCTCAATTATTTATTCTACTCTATTCATCTGTCATGTTAGGAGCTATCCCAATCTTTTATTGCTCTTACTTGGCATATGGGCTGCAGGCACTGCTTGCCAACATGCCTAGCACCATAGGCTTATATAAACTTGGTGCCATGGAGATCTCAATTTGTACTAGAGAGCTGGCCTGACTTGTTGTTTGTCTAGAACAAGGGGGATGCCTTGCGTGTAGTCTAACCACATCAGCAGAAAGTGGAGACTTGCACCAAAAATCCTGATTCATGCCTACTCCATGTAGAAGTTTAGGTCAGAAGTACACAGGCAGACAGATTCTTGTTTGCCAGATGGCCTGGAAATAAGTTCCTCAGAATCTCCCATCACTGCTACACACAATCACCTGTTTTGGCAACAACATAAAACTGCCTGCTCAGAACCCATCTTATCTAATTCACAAATCATTACACATATTCAACCTCCAAATGAAAATAAATTATGCTTGTCCTCACCTACCCACTTGCAACCTCCTCAAATATAGCAAGAAACCTTGCAACAATCATTGTCGTCTGAGTGAACATTGTATCAAAAGCCATACCATGAGCAGAAAGATCCACAGTAATTGTAGCCCTGATTGTCCTGTATATGGAATCAGTGTTAAGTGTGAAGCTTTGATCTACTTAAACAGTGAATTAAATGTTTCTGCTTCTCTCAGCACAATAATTAGATACTTTTCCATTTTGACAGTTTGACCCCAGTTCCCATGGGAGCCCAATCCAAATGCAGAACCCTCCATTTGTGGCACCTACACGGATTCTGTTTTCCACCCATGTGAAACTACTGACAACAAAAGAAGCGAAAATCATAACACTTTATGTTTGGAGAGGTTAAGTGTAAGCTATCATCATCTTGAGTGCTTTATGCAAAAACATATCAATGGAATCCAATTTTTTGCTAACTTACACCTGTAGGGATTTTTGTTGGCATTTGAATAATGCTAAGGTTAATGGCATAAGGCAGGTACCTGGTTGCAAAATTTTTTTCCATTGCAACTAGATAAAACCAATGAAAAGCTTCAATACATGTGCAATCTTGCATATCTTTACTTTTGCTCCACCATGTTACGTGTCATACAACTTAGAGCACAGGAAGAATTCGGCCTCACTGCTATACAAATACGCTTATGGTCTTTGTGTTTTGGACCTTGCCGCACAAATAAGATTAATTTGTCAGTTATTAGCTCCATTGTCCTCCTAACTTAAC